ACTGCATTGGCTACTGCCATAGCTGCGGTTACTACCGCAGACCATAAATGTTGCTCTTGCAGTAAAAAGGGACACCGAAAAACTGAGTGTTCCCAGAAATCAAAAAACACACCCACACAGTCAGCAGTAACAACTTGCCTTAGATGTGGGAAAGTAGGGCATTTTGCTAGGCAGTGTCGGTCAACATATCATGCTGATGGATATGTGTTGTCGGGAAACAAGAAGAAGAGCACAAGGAGGCGTGCTCCGACACAAATATCTGCCCCAATCAACCAACTTAGCCGGCACTTCCAACGACCACAGATCTGTGCGACTGGTTATCAGGAAGGAAAAAGGGATCAGCTGGGATGGATGTATCCACTGCTTGCACAGTAACCATTTCCACTCTGCATGTTTGTTGCAGTGGGCTTGTAGTGTATAAGGGAAAACAGAAGTTTTTATGTTGTGAACATGTTTCCAAAATGGCTTTTTTACAGTCTTTGTGCAAACTCACCTTCTTCTTCCCAGGAGTCTCAGCCTTATCTCTACTTTGGAATTTCTAAGAGATAGCTTGAAGTTCTCTCATTGGCTTTGTTAACCCTTGCTTGTCATTGGTGGGTTTGTAAGACCTCCTTGACTCTTAATGGTTACTTTGCAATCCCCCCTAGAACTATTTATATCCCTACCCATGAACAATAAACTCTCTTGCTCTCTCCTCGCTCCTGGTGTCCTGTGGTCTCTGCGGGGGCTATGGGGACCGCATGGTGGGGGGGAGGGGGAGGGCACTCTTCCCTCCAGGTAAAGGGAAAAAAACCCTAGCCCTGGAGTCCCTCTCCCAATCCAACTTCAACATTTGCAGGGGTTCATAAAGTCCCTTTGGATGCTTGGGGACCTATTGGTAGGGGTTTAAGTGCCTTGTTAATTGGTAGGTCAAGTGCTACCATTCAGGGGATCATTGTACACGTAGGAGTCATTGATGCCGATTATACTGGGCAGATATGTGCCATAGTATCAACACCTACCTCTCCTCTTTGTATTAAAAAAGGGACGTGCATCGCTCAACTTGTACCTTTCATGAGCTGTGTTCCTAGGACTAAAAACATTATCCAAGGCACAGGAGGATTCAGATCTACCAGATTTCCTCAAGTCCATTGGACTCAAGACTGTGAATGACAACTGACCTCAAATGACCTGCATGCTGAGTATGGCACATGTGTCTCCCACTACTGTAAAGGTATTTCACTTATTGGACACTGGTGCTGATGTTCCAGTCATTTCACTAAGGACTGGCCTACTTCTTGGCCTGTGGTCCCTGCCTCTCAGGCCGTTGTAGGCTTGGGAGGCACCTCCACCAGATGCCTTGCAGGTAAGCCAGTGCTTGTTACCAGCCCAGAGGGCCAAGCTGCCACCCTTCAGCTCCGTGTGACTGTTGCACCCTTGAACTTGTGGGGACAGGATTACCTTTCTCAGTGGGGAGTCCGTATAACTACGGATTTACCCTAGGGGTCACTGTGATGCAGGGCGTGAAACAACCCACAGTTGCTTTGAAATGGTTATCAGATAAGCCTGTGTGGGTTGAACAGTGGCCCCTCAGTATTGAAAAACTCACTGCCCTGTTCTTAGTCCAAGAACAACTAGATGCAGGTCATATTGAGCTGTCTCACAGTCCATGGAACACTCCTGTGTTTGTTATCAAGAAAAAATCAGGAAAATGGAGACTGCTACAAGACTTACGCCAAATCAATGAGGTGATAGCAACAATGGGAGCATTGCAACCAGGGTTGCCCTCAGCAACAATGATTCCCATGGATTGGCCTATCATAATCATTGATTTGAAGGATTGCTTTTTTACCATTCCTTTACGTGCAGATGATAAGGAGAAGTTTGCTTTTACTGTTCCTTCGGTAAACTATGCTGAGCCCTCTAAACGGTACCACTGGAAGTTTTTACCACAGGGAATGAAGAATTCACCAACCATCTGTCAATGGTTTGTTGCACAAGCCTTGAGTTCTGTTAGAGAGAAATATCCTGAAGGATACTGTTACCATTATATGGGTGGCATCCTTCTAGCAGCTCCTTCCAGTGAGATGCTGTCTGCCATGGAGTCTGATACCCATATATCTTTGAAGCAGTATGGTCTGGTTGTGGCTCCAGAGAAAGTACAGCATGCTCAGCCGTGGTTTTACTTTGGCATGAAGGTACTTGAACGTACCGTTCAGCCACAAGCCCTTCAATTGAATATGAAAGTTAAAAATTTGAATGATGTGCAAAAATTGGCTGGGACTATAAGTTGGCTGCATCCTTATTTTGGCTTAACCACATCCCAGATACAGCCTTTGACTGATCTCTTAAAGGGCAATTCTGATCTTTATGCCCCTCGAAGTTTGACCCCACAAGCTAAGCAAGCCATTGCTTTAGTGGAACAGCAAATGCAAACTGAATGTGTGGAGAACTGCCACTGACGTTGCAATTCAAGTTTACATCCTTATTGAAAGCATGGTACCTTTTGAGCAATGGAACCCTGTCTGGCATGATCCTTTGCATGTATTGGAATGGCTCATCCTGTCAGTGCGCTCCAAGAAAACTGCTCCTGGTCTATTTGAGCTTCTTGCACAGCTAATCATAAAAGCACGTTCCCATTGCACAGAACTTACAGCACATGATCCTGAGGGCATCGTAGTGCCTGTGCAACTAGGTTGTTTTGAATGGTGTTTGGCCAATAGTTCCTCTTTACAAGCGGCATTGACCAATTACACAGGCGCTATTAAATATCATCTGCCATCTCACCCTCTATGCAAACTGCATGACCAGGTTTCGCTGGGACAGAAACTTCTTTCTTCCACGACACCTGTGCCCGGACCCACTGTATTCACTGATGGGTCAGGGAAAACCAAAAAGGCAGCTGTGACTTGGTATGACAGTCACCAATGGCAACACATTGTTGAATTCCAAGAAGGTTCACCCCAGGTCGTTGAACTATGTGCGGTTACTGTTGCATTTCAGCATTTTCCGTGTCCAGTTAATATTGTTACTGATTCTGCATATGTAGCCAGTTTAGTTCCACGCTTAGATAAAGCGGTCCTTTGAGAGGTCTCAAATGCCCTCTTGTTTGGGGTCCTTGAGGGGGAAACAATTCAAAAGCGTTCTAATTCCTGTCACATTTTACATGTGCGTAGTCACACCAGTTTGCTAGGTTTTGTAGCCACTGGCAATGCTCATGCGGATCGCCTTTTTTCACCCATTGCTTTGGGCTCAGTGCCCAATCTTTGGCAACAGGCGATCACTTCACATCAATTTCTTCATCAAAGCCAGCAGGCCTTGGAACGACAGTTTAATTTGACGCATGATGCAGCTTGTTCCATCATTGCTGCATGCCCTGACTATCAAGATCAGTCAGTACCTGCATTTTATGGTACTAACCCAAGAGGGCTGCAGGCTTTACAGATTTGGCAAACTGATATTACTCATATAGTGGAATTTGGACACTTAAAATACGTACATGTATCTGTTGATACCTTCTCCTCTGTTATAGTTGCTACTGCCCATACAGGTAAAACTGCCCGGGATAGTATTCGTCATTGGCTGCAGGCGTTTTCTACGTGCGGTGTTCCACACCAAATTAAGACTGACAATGGTCCTGCCTACAACTCCTCCCGAGTAGAATCTTATCTCCAAATGTGGGGGATCTCTCATGTCACCGGTATTCCTCACTCCCTCCAGGGTCAAGGTATTGTGGAGTGTGCACATGGTATCATTAAGCGTCAATTACAAAAACAGAAGGCGGGAATGTCTGGGGAAACCCCTGAAGCTCACCTTGCTAAGGCTACCTATGTGCTCAATTTTGGTAATATTGCAGAAGACCAGCAGGACCCACCCATGGTCCGGCACTTTGGGTCCTTATGAAAATCCACAACTGTTTCCCCTGGGTTGAAGGTCAGAGTAAAAGATTTGCAAACAAGGCAGTGGTCTCAACCTTGTGAACTACTAACATGGAGTAGAGGGTACGCTTGTGTCTCCACAGATGAAGGACCTCAATGGGTACTTGCTCGTTGTGTTCGACCTGTACTTGGTGATATGCGTGCACAAGGTACATAAAAATTCATCCATGAACATATTCAGCAACTGAAAAGGAATGCTGCTACCGTGGAGTGATGACAGACGGACTGTCCAAACTGCTAATCTTGCCTATGCATGTAGTTGTTTTTTGTATTATTGATATTGCCGTCATTTGTGTCTCCCTTGCAAGGGGCCCCGCAATGGATAACACTTGTTGGCAATTTCTTTACTACAAAAAAGGAGGAGTTATGGTGGGTTCCCAGTTGGACTGGAGACCCTCTAAGGGATAGAAACTAAAGAAGGAACTCTTGTATAGGGCAGGGTGGCATGCACAGACCCGGAAGGTGTAACAACATGGTTTTCCAGTAGAGTAAGCTGAGTCATTGTTATAAGACATGGGTAGTGGGCAGCTCTGTCATGCTGATTCAGCAGAATGACATGTTGTAAACTGCCAATCGAGGGTTATTTATGTTACTTGAAAAACAATAATGATTTAACATGTGTAGCCTAAAAAGTATATAAAACCTGCTGCAATATGTTTAAAAAAAAAAAAAAAAAAAAAAATCCAGTTCCTGGATCCAGAAGAGTCAGTGTTGTTTCATCCCGCTCCGACCCACAACAATTAATGGCTTTGATTTAAACTTCATCACTGAAAGGATTCACAATTTAGTCAGAATGTAACTGAAATTGCTATAGCAGAAAGTATCTTGAAAGGGATTGTAATAGGGAAACATCTGTCATCTCAAAACACTGTTCAGATTTTCTAGATTGAAAAAAAAGTAAATAAAAAAATGTTAAAATGCTACATTACAAATATCATGTTCTGTGCAAGCATACATTAGGAGAAAACCCCATGCAGTTGCACATATGAAATATTCCACAAGATTGCCAAGAAAAAAACATAGCAAAGCAACACAGAAAAAGAAAAAAAAAACCAAACAACAAACAAACCAGAAGCCCAGTAATAATATAGACCAAAGCATTTATTTCTTCACTTTTCCACTATAGGATCTTCAAACACAATAGAAAAGAATACATAATTCCACTGCAGCTATTTTCCATTTTAAGTAAACCAAGATTAGCCTGTCAGTTCATGCACAGCATCTGAACGTGCTATTCCAACAGTATTTTAATAGAGAATAAATTTGAAATAATTTTACAGCTTGAAAACTTAAGTAGTATTCAGAGGATTCTGATTGCATGAAACCTTGAATGGTGAACTGGGGTTTGTGAAAGCAACAGAACAACCACTAGGATTTCCAGACCTCTTTTTAGCATAGAAATTAACTTTTCTGCATTTTCATTATTTTTATCCCCATTCTTCTTCCTTCTCTTTCTGTTGCATTTCTACCTGTGTGAAAACTATAGTTGACTTTGCTTTAGCCCTTTAGCCCAGAACTTTTTTTAATTTCTGATTTTCAGCTTAATTTTCCTGTGCAATATCTCAAATAACTGATGCACTGTCTTCATCTAACATACTTTTCCTCTTCACATTAGCAAAGGATCCTGAGTGAATATTCATAGGAACACATAGAGCAAATGAAAATACCACGATCAGCACTTGTTCAAGGAAACCAATTTTCTCACCCAAGGCGAGAGTCTGGACTGTTGCAGAACTTCACTTGCCTCAAAGCAAGATATCCTGGTCAGACACATGGAAACTGATATAGAGATGAACTCAAATTATCTTAAATGAAGATCAAAGTCTTTCATGGTTCCTTAAAATACAATTCACACTACTGTTTTTACAAAACCGCAGCTGTATGGGGGGAGCCAGCTGTGGTAGAATAAAGCCCAGCTGGTTGGCCCTGGGGTTGAACAGACGTCCGCTACTAAATGTGGTATCACAAATGAGCTAAGCCTAGCCCAGAAGAAGAGAGTAACATAGGGTCATATTATCAACCACATCAGTTCACAGTTTTGCTTATAAGTTGCAAAACAAATTATTATTATACTGATATAAATTCCAAGTAAGCGCTAGTCACAACTCATTTTCAGTTCAGCAGTGGCACTTAGGTAGTGGGATGTAATCAGTCACAAAATAACCTATTTAAAAATTAAAAGGGCAGGACTCCTGCCAAAACACAGGTGTACAACTTTCTCTATTAACACCTGCACTGAAAATATGGCAGTAAACTGAGCATATGCATAGATTTTTCCCCACAGAACTTGGGGTTAACTATGCCAGGTGTAAAGCAGAATAGTTCCAATGACTTAAAGACGGGGATCAGCTTTTTTTGTTTTGACATACACATTAATCTTCATGTTTCTCTAGAAAAAGCAAATGAGATGCCGCAATAGCTCACTGCATCCTACCCTATTCTAAACATACACACACACACACAAAACCAAACCCAACACCCAACATGCACCTAAAACATTTAACAGAAAAAGCTGTTGGTCAGTAAAGTCACTCAGAGATTTGAACTTAAACAAGTGCTGTTTTGCAACACAACACTGATAATACTTAAAATCTAGAAAAAAATATACACTCTGATTTCAAGAACAAAACCATAGCTGTATCAATACAGAAAACAATTTAATTTGTTTCAAAATAAATATTTGACATACAAAGCACATACAGTGAAAAAGGGTCACAATAAATTACAAATGGAGATACTTGCTCACTCACTGAGAAAAGCCCTTGATATTTCCAATTTCATACCATCAAATTTATCATTCTTGCTGATTTAAGCACAGCACTGAACAAATATGGATCCCAGTGCTTTCTTTCACAGGTACTGGTATGGATGATTTACTGCAGTGATCCAATTTGAAAATCAGTAGGGACCAGTAAATCGCTGCATAAAAGAAAGAGCGAATGAGGTGCTTTTTCCTTAGTGTCAGCAGCCTGCGATTATTATGTTTATTAGATTTTCTTGAAAGGGCTTCACATTTTCTCAAATATGCAGGAGAACTATATTTCCCCTCTGAGCCCTTACATTAGCATTTTGTGCCTCAGTCCTTGAATACAAGTAAAAGATGAATTTTTCAATTAATTTTAAAAGTTTATACCATCTGGATGGCACAGAACTAAGCAATGAAACTCCCTTACCTGCACAGCATCTGCCATTATCACAGAACTAGCTTCTGCAGAGAAGTTAGTAAGTAATGCTGACATTTTATGAAAAAGATTTTTGAATCCACATTGAAGATTAAATTCTATTACATTATCCATTCTGATAATGTAGCTTTGAAACAAAGGATTGCTTAAGGTTCTGTCCTTAAAAGGCGATTTAGAACAGTGAGGCCTGACTGTTCCTGTGACTTTAAGGAAATTACAGCACAATAGAAGTTACAGTACAATGATACACTAACCAATTTCCATATATATAGTTTAACCGTAATAGATGCACTGCAGCAATTAAAAATTAGACAAGATTAGCATACCCTACTACCATTTAGCACGTTGCTTTCCATCTTGTTCTGTTGCATTATTTTTCATCAGTGCAGAGATGATGATACAAGGGACCATACCTAGCTCTTGCAAACAGAAATCAATTTTTGATTTCTGATTACTGCTTTAAAAAGGCATGCTGTCTAGCTCAATGTCTTTTCTGCCCTTAATCTGAGCACTGTAAGGTACAGTACTTTTTTAAGTATTTAAGCCAGCAGTTTATATAATTTTGGGAGCAGGACCAACAAGTCGTATGTGGTGTAGAAACAAATCAGTTTCCTCTGGGCACTTGTCCAACTCTCTGTCCTATTTTCTGCTCTGCCAGAGCTCTTACAACCCCTCAGGAAAGTGGTCTTTTCTTCCATGTCTCCATTCCTGTCTATAAAAGGGACAGGAACTATACTTCCTTAATAAACACGGGATCTGTAAGCGAATGTTGCACTACAGGTGCCAAACGAAAAACAGTCCAACACAGACTGCACAAAATAACCAAACACATTATTTCTTTGGACAGTACTATAACATATATAGTTAGCAGCTCAAAAACTGTTGGAAGAAATAGTGGCTCATGATTGTAATGGATTTTTTTAAATCCCTAAAACATGCAACTTAAAATATTAACAGATATTGCTCGCCGTTAGCATCCATCAAAGAAGGGAGCAAAATATAAAACTGACAGCACAGACATTATAATAAAAGTATAAAATTAAATAAAAGGCAATAAAGGAAAGGATGGATGTATTGGTGAGTTACTTGGTGTGTAAGAAATCCCAGCTGGCATTAGCTATTCCAAAAGTCTCAACGGCTCTTGATACTTTATTTACCTACAGGTGACAACAGAAACTGTTATGATGGAGCTTCATTTCTACTTGTTTGTGCAGAGCAAGGGGTGGGTCTACTCACAGAATCTATGCAACAGCACTTATCTTACGAAAGCTGAGATAACAAAAAGCAATGACCGGTGTGATTTATACCAGTGGAAACAGTTACCTAACACCAGGTAGGTAACCTTTCAGTAAAACAAAAACTCTTCTGCTTCACATTTGGGGTTGACAGGTATTTTATGGTCAGTTGCACAATTTCTCTATGATCACTGACTTCTGTCACAGCCTCTGTATCACAGCTAGCTGTTGACAGCACAGCAGCATGAACATACAGCTCTCTTCACCAGAAAACCTCAAGCTATCAGGACACAACCAGCAATTCACATCTAATTTAATTGTTAGTGTAGAAGCAGTCACAAACCATGGCAAGTAAGCAGGCACAAGGACAGAATGTTTTTGCCAGTATTGAGGAAATGCAGGGTTATAGCTTAGGCAGCCAAAAGGCTGCAGTAAAGATCAAAGCTGATGCAGAGTACAGGTCAATTGCCCTATTTATTTGGTTTGAACACTATTCTTATACCACTGTTCCATGTTTTCCTGGCACATCAGAGACGTTTTCCCAGGCCACAAGTTGCTCATTTGTCAAGCAAATCCTTGCAAAGCCAAAAATATACTAGCCAAATCATATTAAATCAAATCCCATTTACGAAACATCTTTCTCCTCTTTAAGGAGTCCATTTTTAAGACTTAATGGAAAGAGTTAACAAGAAATTCAGCATCCACATTTAAGTTCTACTTCATGGCACTGTCTTCCAACTCTCAACTCAGTCATTGTCATTCACTTACTCCTTTTAATATATCTCATCCATTCCTAGAGTTGGATCTCAAGACTTAACATCCTTCAGTTACAGTTGCAATATATCGGATCCAGTTTAGATTCATCTCTTATTTAATAACATCATACAATTAAGGAATAGTAGGCTGCAACTGTAACTGCAGTCAGACCACAAAAATTTGCTCAGAAGTAACATGTTATTCTGCTTACATTAATTACAGATTTATTTGCCTTCCACTCCCAGCACGGGGGACCAACTTGGATGACCGAATTAAAATTTTTAAATCAGATTGGTCCAAAGAGCTGAAGAGAATCTGAGGTCACCACTCTAAAAACATATCCTGTATCATGAAACAGGGTCTAGGATTGTGCTGAGGAACTGAAACAGTAATAAGTAGGTCTAGACTTTTTGCTCTGATTAGATACCATTGTTGCAGTGCTTATTTTGGGGTTAGATTTTGAAAGAAAGGGTCATATATTTTTGTACTTTAGAAGGCAAACATTCCCTATAAGATAATCTAGAAATGTACGAGCCATTATATCCCAATTCAAAAGCAGCAGTGGGAATATAAGAACATGCACACATACACACAGGAAAGCATTCTGCTCAACTTCCAGGTTCAAGCATCAGTATGTTCTGTTAGAGAGAAAATAAGCTTGAAGAGCCTAGCAAGTTACATTTAACACTCCTTTTATTGCAGTAGAAATTTTAGTTTTTATAAAATCCTCAAATTACAGGATATACATGTAGTGAAACTCATTGCAAGTCTTTAGCAGCTGTAGAGCATTACTGCATGCAGTTGCTTCTGCAGTGTGCAAGTGTTCTATAAACAGCTAATCATGTTCAGAGAGCAGGACAAGTAGTCAAGGAATATCATATTCAATTAGCAACTGGTTTATCAATACCAAGAGGTTGAGCAAAAAAATGAAATTAGTTTATAAATACATGGCTCTGATCTAACAAACTAATACAACTGAAAAGTCTGAATGATATCCACATCACAAACAAGATAACTCAATAGTTACAGGAAAATACTCTACTTCAAGACTGTTTTTGAAAATGTTTCACATAAGATTTCTCTGACCATGGAAGAATAGTTAAGTTCAGTGCTATAGAAGTCTACAAAAGGCCCTTTAATTTTATGCAATTAGAATACTAACATTAACTACAGAAGATTAGACAAATATTTTGCCTTGAATTTATGGAAAAAAGTTTTGTTCAGACAGATAATATTAGTTTTCCACAACCTACCTTTCAGCTGCTGGGTGAATATATAATCAGCACTCAATTTAATATTCACCCAATTTAATATTCACTTCTGTAGTCATGACATGGCTTCAGGTCAGTCATCAGATGAATTTATGCCAAGAAATCTTACATGCATTTGTTTCAGAAGCTGACTAAACAGGTTCAATCCTTTATGCAAATTTCCCACCACAATGAGGCTCAGAAACTGGAATAACAATTTATATAGAACTAGCTACAGATTAATTTTCTAAAAAGCTAACATGCTTGAATTACTGCAGTCTCAAATTTTGTGGACATATAAACAAATCTGCAATGAGTCTGCAAAAGTTACTTCATTTACATTGATTAATTCGAGACATGGTTAAAAGTTATATCTTTGGCTGAAAAGCCTACAGGTCAGCAGTTTGGCTTGGTAAAGCATCTTGTTATGACAAGAAAACTGCAGAGTTTTCTGTGATCAGAGTCTTGGTATTTCTTCCAACAGTGTAATGTAAGACTACATCACAAGGTAGGAACTTGGAAGAGTTCTTTTTAAGTAGTATAATAAAAATAACCTCTCCTTCAGAAAAGGTGTTATCTGTGTCAGCTTGATAGATTTTAATCCCTTGTGTTAACTTCAAAGTGGGCCATATCTCTACATTGAGTATATTAAATTGGACAAAATAGTTCTACAGATACATTTAGTAAGCAGAAGAATACTGTCCAAAGTGTACTGCATAGGTATGTGTACCAACTGCTATCCACTGGAGATATCCTACAGTAGCTATAGTTCCCACTAACATAAGCCAAGTGAGCATAGACCTCTTATAGTTTTAATCAATCTCAAACAATCCTTGATTAAAAAAAACAACCAAACAAACAACAAAAAAACCCACACCTGTACGACTGGGTATGTTTCAGAAAGGATGCAGCTAATTTTTTTCACCAATTAACAATACAGCACAGTAATTTTAAGTTTCCATTATTTGGTTTTGATATGCTAAATTTCATATTATCTCCAAGAAAAGCATATACATATTTTTATACAGCCTGGAGTGAGATCAGTGTAAAATCAAAAATTTCTAATCATCAGCAGAAGTGCCAGCTGCTCATAATGTTCACAAAACATGAGTGCCTGAAATCTGGCTATGCAACAGTTGGTGCCAATCTGCTTATAAAGGAAATGCTGCTGAGGCATAGTCTTCTTACAAAAACAGGGCACGAGGGCTTCATTATTAAGTGTTCAACAACAATCCTGAGCTCGGTGAAGAGAGTCCTGAAAAAAACAGATTTAAAGAGAGTTTTAAAATCCTACAGCATTTATCAGAAGCATTATCTAGATCTGTCTTTTTCATTCACTTCTTTCCTTAACATCACACACACACTCTAGTTAACAAGTTCTTTGGACCAGCTCAGTATTGCAGTATCTTGCAAGAGCTTCAGAATTCTTGCTTTTTAAACATTAACATTTTAATTAACTTTAGATCCATCCTTGGCTGAAAGCTGCTGAACTAAAGACAGCAGAAAGATTTCACCTTAAAGCCAAAACAAAAAGACACTTTTAAAAAAAGAGGAGGAAAGAATAATGCTTTATCACAAATAGTGTAAGGAGTTGGGAAGCAATTGTGTATATGGGCTATTTCTTGCCAATAGGCAATAAGAGTGCACTCTAGAAGCAACTATTAGAAGACAGACACAAGAAATAAAACCCAGATCACCAGTTTCCCTTAAAACACAAGAATGCCAGCAGAACATTTTGGATAAACTAATTCTACTGAAAGTCAGTTTTAGTATTGCACGGCTTAGTTGATTTTTAGATACTAAAGCAACTTCATAGATTTTGGTTTTGTTGTTAAAAAAAATATATATATATATATGTACCAGGATGGAACAATTAATTTTTTACAAAATGGTAGGAAACAGGAGGCAATTAAGCTTATGATTCTCAGACTTGTCTTCACATATCACAGCAGCCAAAGCCACTTTCTTGGCACTTTGGCAAACCGTTTTCTAATTGAGCAATGATTAGACTGGAAGGTATGTTCACAAAAATCTTACGCTTTGCAATGCTTGTCGTAAGAAAACTAAGAAAGCACTGACCTGAGAAAATCCTCAGAAATATTTATAGTTTCAAAGTCTAAAGCAATATTGGCTTGACCAACTTTCAAAATCAGTAAGTTCTATTTCAAATATAATTAACCTGATTTGTGAATTTAACTAAAGGAAGTAATCAGCATGTTTATCTATAGATTCTTTTCTGTCAATATTATACAAAATTCTTAAGTGCCTATTCATATACAGACTTAGCCTCATATCTACCTGAAAATCTAAAAATAAGGATATTATCTTCCTGATAAGAAAGACTTTCTTCTCCCAAAGTGTAGTTTTAATTACATAGGTGTGTTTCCAAAGCTCCCATTCAAGAACGGTGGCACATTTCTGATCAGTTACACGAAATCAGTTACACTACCTGGTTACTTGAACCAGCCAGTTTTATTTAGCATCCAGGTGTATTTCACATTTTAAAATTACCATCTGCAGATTTAGTACTATGAGTTATGCATTCATTTTAGAATGAAAAGTTTCCAAATGCCTGAGCACTATGCACTTAAACACTATCTTCCAAAATTAATTTAGTACTTACCGACAGTATGGATTTCGCCGAGAAGAGTAGCGTAATGTAAGAAACCTATAATAAATGAATGGCTGGAGCAGGCTCCCTTGTCCACTGAAAGAAAATAGTTCAGTAGAGCTCAGTAGTGACAAAAAAACCCACCAAACACCAAAATCAGGATTTTTCCTAACAAAAGCAAGCAAGCTACTTGGGTTCAAAAAAGAGCTAGATTTGGGTCACACTGGTTCAGAAAATCAAATGCAGAAACTTACATTATAGAATAAAACTGCTCAATCAAACTCTTAAAGAAGTGCTGTTCTTGTATTGATTTTTTTATATATATGAATTTTTTTATATGTGCCATTTCTGGTGGTGTGCAAGGAATCACAGAAATGATGGTGGACACATGCTCAATACCAAGAAAAAGCTTGTTGGTCAAGCAGGAAAACTGGCTGACATAAGTAGTCCAGTTACAGCGAGTAACTGGGACTCACAGCACTTTGACTACCTCGACCTATTCCTAGTATCTTTTGCAAAATCTGTCAGAACACACTGGAGACAATTATAGGTGAATTCAGACATGCAAAGCTTGATATCTGGTTACTTCAGTTACATTGAAATTAGGTTTTGATATTTTACAAAGTTGCTGTTTCACATGACGGTGCTATGAAGTAGTGAAAGTGTAGCATACAAACCATACACAGCAAAGCACAGAAATGCCCTAAGTTTTAGTGACTGAAACTACTTTGAAAAACACAATATTTGAAAGTTCTATTTGAAGTTGAACATCACAGTTCCAGCAAGGAGAACTCCTTCAAGTATGAACAGTATCTTTACCCAGGAGAAAAAAAATATAAAGTGAAAGGGAAAGCGAGCTACAGGAGGAAAGAACGAGGAAATCTTGAACCTGTACACTATTTACAAGAAATTTAATATGCTAAAACAATTTAAAGAACAAAATCTCACAATAGCTGCATTTAAACATTATATGATTTTAAATTTGGCATGATCATTTATAAGCATCAGTATCTACTGGATGACATATCCAGTAGCAACATTTCACATACTACATTTTCAACAGAGAGAGAAAAGAAAAAAAGAAATTATCCCAAAGAGAAGTTCAAAGTACTTGGAAGTTTCAATACTGGATACAGAGTGGATACAGTTGGTAAGCAGCCTTAAATGAAATGGAATCCTTGAGGCCAGAAGCATTGAAGTGCTCAGCTGACATATCAAGAGATAAAGACAAATCATGCATTCTGTCAACTTCCAAGAAGATAAAGCCTCCCTTCCGCTGCCTGTGAGACCACTCAAGACAAATGCTCTCACTATGCTGCAACTTTTATAGAACAAAGGGTGTATTCCCTCTCCAAATATTAAAAGGCAACGACCTTCAGTGACTTCAAAACTTCAGTGACTGGCAGGTCATTATACCTATATAACCTCAGTAGGATTCCAACACACATATGCTCAAGATCCCTAAAATTAATTCAAGTGGATGCACAGCAGGCATAACCAAGCGGAATAAAAAAACCCCACAAGGGTCACTGCTCAGAAGTAACACAGGAGAGAACACAGTCTTCTACTGCTTGCACACTTTTTGCATATTGAAACGTCATGCCACTTAAATTTCTGGAATCTAAGTGTCAAAAATAAGAGCTTACTTTCAGTGAAGCTGAAGATATTAATACTCTATTAAATCAACCAAAATTAAACTTACTGAACAACGTACTGATAGAAATGCAGGCGAATGCAAGTTGCAAGCCCAAAAAATTTCAATGTGACTCAACAATGTCACCCACATAATGAAAGAGAAGGGTTTTTTTGTGCCCACTTATACTCATACTGAATGCTTTTTGATGTCATGATGCACCAACTTAAGAAGCCTAAGAATTACATAAATTTTACTTGAAGTTCAAGGCCTAGTCATCCAGAACAATACAAGTAGAGCACTGTGATCCAGAAAACTCACTTGCAAACGATAATCTTGTGTAGCAAGTTTCTAATTATTTAAATATTTATCATAATTCTTACCTGAAGAGCATAAAAACTGTAGCTGGCATGAGGAAAATTTCATTGCAAGCAATGAATTTTAGAATATTCTGTTGATTAGCACTCAGTTTCTCTAAGAGATTTCTCAGAAAAGGCAAACTATTTGAACTTCGTGCCTTTAAAGAAGAAAAAATGATTTACAGAAAAAATATGAATTACACCTATCTTCACTAGTGCATAGAAATCAAAATACAAACAATTGTCATTTACAACCCATTTCAGCATTTTAAGACTTTACCAGAATTAATATCCCAAAGAAAACCGTAGGCTTGGAACTCCATAATTTACAAAGAGTTCAATTTAAAACATCAGGTGTTGCAATCCCCTCATGCATCCATTTTAGGTTCAACTGCACAGAGACAGCCACAAGGCTTGTTCTCTCCACTAGGTGGAAGTGCCCATGGTAGCAAGATAGCCCAGTTAGGAACACCAAATACTGGAGTTACATTAAATTGCACAAGGCAGTGCATTGAGCAGCAAGTCCAACTGGCAAGCATTTTGCTTGCTTGTCTCACCCTGTAGTTTGTTACCTTACTACTGAAACAAAACAATAAAATTCACAGGCTATGGTATAGTTTGAAAAAGACATGTCTTATGTTTCAACTTAAATGTTACACAGTTTTTGTTTCCTTCAAAGGAAAGCATTTGAAGAAAAATAATCAGTGTCAACTCCAACATATCGAGTCATTACAGAAGGGGAAAAAAAACAAAAACAAACCACAAAACCCAGCCAACTCAAAAAAGTCTTCTCAGATTCTCTGTGCTGACATTCCACACCACAAATTCACTCTAATTCCTCTAGCACAGCCAAAGGAAACCAAACCATAGCTGCAACTTAAACCTGTTTATAAACCCCAAGAACACCAACACTATTAATCGTAACATACATCATATCATACTTACATCAAGAACCTTCTTTGTGTATGTGGCAGCATGAAGCAATGAGAACAGCAGAACTGGAAAAATACTCACTGAAATAAGCAATAAGGAAAATTATACGCTTCATTTCTCCATGATGTTATAGTACAAGAGTCATAGCTTGGTGGCTCTTTGCATGGGTATGACCTATACTGGATGAAGATATGTATAAGTCTAATATCTATATTTATAGCTCTTCCCTTTGGTTCTTACACTTCTTTGCTATACACTTTTATTAACTTCAAAATATGGGTGTCTGCAAGTACGCAAAAGTATAACATACACCATTACACACCAGTGCATTTCTCCTGAAATGCATTCTTTCCGCATGGAAGACACACATGAGGTTACTACTTAAAATCTATTAAGTACATGTAGTCATAACATTTTTTTTATTAAAAGATGCTACAAAAGTAATTTCATTACCAAAGAATATGCAGTTGCCAGCCATTCACATTTCACAGAGAAAGAACATAGACATTTCTCTGCCAGAGAGATTTTAAAAGTCAGATGTGAAGCGTACATAGCGTGGCATAAAGAAAAGTCAGTTCTGACATGTCACCTTTGACAAGCCACAGGGAAAGTATTTTTTGCAGACTTTATCAGTTAAATAACTTATTTGAGAAAGCTACCACTGAATAATTGTCTCTCTATGTGACTATGTCCTGCTACAGTGAAAAGTCATATATAAACCCTGTACTGGTAATAAATGAAAATTACCAACTTTTCCAAGTATCACTTGAGGCTGGTCATAAAATCCACTGAACTTAAGTCTCAGTAAAAGAAAATCTCAATAGCCAGAGTCTGTAGTGCACTAATTATAGAGCTGACTAAACTGAATATGGATTGATCAACATAAGCCTCTTGTATTTTACATAGAGTATGTTCTATGAATAGCAAACAAATTAGTTCAAACTAGTTTTTCAAAACATGGCACAGGTAATGAAAAGAACCAAATTTTAAATATATTTAAAAACATCACCAGGATGACACAAGTAAAGGATACTTGTAACAGGGTAGGAATTCACAAAGATAAGGGAGTACAACAGGTAGTGGCAGCTGTCCTCCAGCAAAGCCTGGGCCAGAAACGCCCTGCTAAGCTGAAAGTGTGGTAGCCTTTGATGCAGTCGGAGGGCACTGGTAAGAGCATTTGCCAGCAAGGCACGCTGATAAAAGCTTGCTGCTTCATGCAACCTGCAAATCATCAGAGGAGACGTTACCATATGAACCAAGCTCAGAACTCTTCCACCCTTGAGAATTGCATCACAGCTGCACAATACCTGAGTATTTCTATTACTGTACAGAAGCACTATTTACAAAATTCAACTCAAAAACTGGTAACACTGACTTACTGCTGGTGCCTAAAGTAAAATAACTCAATATATTACCCCATAACTACACAAAAATCATGAATTTATTACTACTTTACAGTTGCTCAACACATTTTCCAAACACATCTAAAAGTGTTTTAAACCAATCTAAAATCTGTAAGCTGTTATGACAGCATCCAAGCATCCAAAGCATCCAGCATCAAAAGCATCCAAGTAAGCTGAATAACAGCAATTTACTCTTATGTGAAAAATAATTCTATGCAAAGGGACTCTAATTCATAAATTTTTAGTGCTATTTTACAATGTCACAGTACATACCCTAGAAGAGGCAGGACAAATAAAGCTGAGCAGTAAACTGTGAACAAGCGGGAAATCCACATTGCTGTATCCAACTTGTTAGCCATCAGAAATTGCTACATTGGGGAGAAAAAAACAAACAAAAGCCAACCCCAAGATAAGTTGGTATGTTAATATTTGCATAAAATGAGCATTCCTCCCTGCTATATTACATTGCAAATCTTCTTCCAGCCTTGAATATAAGCAAATTATAGCTTGAAGTAGAAAGCTGCTTTTTGTTCTGTGATACTTGACTCATATGATGCTACTTGCCAGATCAAAAATAGCTCTGCTTCCTCAGAACCAAGAGGCTCCTTTCTACACTATAAACAAATACAGTGGTAAGAACTTCTGGGAAAGTAGTTCTTCTATCCAAATCGACCTCATTAACAGCCAGCTCCACAAATGTTACCACATAAAGTCTCCAGACCTGAATTTGCATATACTGCTTCAAGGTTCCTTTTAGAATACACTGCACACACCTTGGGCTGAATCTCCACAATTCTCAGCGAGGGATAAAAAATAAAGGGTCAGGTAAAGTTTGCATAACTACATGCTTATAATTACAAGGAAAGTAGCATAGTTTTGGCCTACATATTCATGGCCTCGAAAAAGCAAAAGCTTTTTACAGGAATCTTGCAGCTCTCCTGTCATTGAGCTCTTCTTAATCACAGCCCTCCTCAGTCTTGATATAGCCATGGTACCAGAAAGGCTCTAACCAAACACAGCATGCTTTTGGCTATTATGTGCCTCAGAGTCAAAACATCTGCTTCCTTGCACCAGAAGGAGTTCAAGTTTTTTTCCAAATCTGAACCCCGTTTTGGAGATTTCTCTTTTCCTCTATGTTCCTAGTATGTCTCTATGGAAATGACCAGAAACTAACTAACCTGCAAGCATCTTCACATCACGATCTAGTGTCTTACCTGCACAATATAACTACAGAAACAGCATGAAGCTGTGTCAGGGGAGGTTTAGGTTAGATATCAGGAAAAGCTTTTTCACCCAGAGGTGGTTGGGCACTGGAACAGGCTCCCCAGGGGACTGATCACAGCAAGAAGCCTGACAGTGTAGTAGAACCATTTGGACAATGCTCTCAGGCACATGGTGTGACTCTTGGGATGTCCAGTGTAGGGCCAGGAGCTGGACTCGATGATCCTGACGGGTCCCTATGATTCTGTGAAATGATGCTGCCACACCGAATTACTTTTGACTTAGACATTTTCAGGAGCGGCGGCGCACCACCAACACGCTTTCAATCGGGAAGCGAAAGCTGCTTCCCCCTGCCCGCACCCGGGCGGGCAATGCCACGCTGCGATTCCCGCAGGACCCCCAACTCCACCGCGCCGCTGGGGAAGCACCGCGGCCGGCCCAGGACCCTGAGGCCCGGCAGCTCCTTACCACGGCCCCGCCGCCGGCCCCGCCTGGCACGGGCCCGTTCTGCGTGGAGTCCGCCATGGCCGCACCTGCGGGGAGAGAAGCGCCTCAGTCTGCGGGACAGGAGCGACCGCCGCGTCCCGAGCCCCCGCTCCCGGCCCGGCCGCGACCCACCGCCAGCGCCACACCGGGCACTGCACACGCTCCGCCGGGCCCTGCCCCGGATGCGGCAGGACGACACTTCCCGTGAGCCGCGGGGATGCCGGGCAATGTAGGCGGCGGATGGGATGCTCCCGGCGGCGGCACGAGGGCATCCCAGCGGGTTCCGGCGGATCCGGGACTGCGGCTGCCGGGGCGAGCCCCCTGGGGAGGACCCCGGCCCCTTCCCGCGCTGTCCACTGCAGTCCCGAGAGCTGGTGCTCAGCTCGGTCTGTAGGGTTAGTGACAGGGGCACTTCTGCCTGATAACAGCAACAGTGTTAATGCTCGCTTCGGCCCCAGCTTGGGGAGTGTTTGCTCAATAAGGGCCAACCTGGCTTTCCAGAGCCATCTGGCGAGGCTCAGTGCTGTGCATCAGCAGTGTAAATGGGAATCGTAAGGTCAGAGGCACGGCTCGCCGCAGTTCCCCGATGCTGCGGTAGCTCTGTGATGTCACACAAAAACATCAAGGCTGTGTCCGTGTGTTTTAGTGTCACTGGTTCTCTATAATGTAAAATGAGGGGGGAAGGAAGCCTCTTTAAAGCCACGTGTGCCCAAAGATTCGTACTGTCAGTGGTATTGCATTAAAATGCAGCAGCTTTGTAACAAGGTTCTGAAATGTTTAGTCGGTAATCATTACACTGTAAAGGTAAGGAGCTTCAATCAAGTACAGGTATATCCACAACACTGACAGGAGAACCAAGCTGGAAAGCATAAGCAGAAGCAACCTTCTGCTCACTCAGCAGCATGTAGCACATGTACTTTGCAAGGTCTTGGAAAGGGTTAATCCTCCCTTCATTAATGTGACCATTGTCTTCAGTATTGATTTTTTTTTTTTAATGGTTTGTGCCAGATAGCTGTGTGAACATGTTTCTGTTCTCAGATGGAAGTCTGCAACTCGTCTGAAGTGGCATCAGAGTAAAAGAAAACGAAGTGTGGGCCTCAAGACTGACACCTTTGAGTTTTAGCTCCTATAGCCTCATGTAATTTGTACTTCTGACTTTCTCTCAAGGATGCGCAGCAGGTTCCCCCTTCTGGCAGCACGGGTTCCGGGACGGCAAGCCGTCTGCTTCAGTTTCTCTAATCGTTCCCAGATGCTTTCAATTACACTTCAGCGGCTAGAAGGACATGTTCTTGGGACCAAGGATCTTGGAATCAACATCCGCAATCAGCCTCATTTCTGGCTCATGATGATTAAAATATTGATTTGAAGACACTCAGAAAGAACGTGTAATGAAGTATGTTGATGGGAAAGGAGTAAAAGAAAAGTCAGCTGATAGGAATTCTAATACCACAACAATTACAAGTAATCTAAGACTTTAGGCTGATTAACACTTTTTAAATTGAAAATGCAGAATGTGATTTTCCATTTCTTTCCCAACCATTTGTCTCTCACTAAAGTGACTGAAAAGTAGGCATAGGAACTACCTGGTGTTTTGGGATGATTTTTCTACAGGTGGAGGAGACTAGTAAACAGCACTAGAGATACACTCTCAGTGTATCTGCTTGGCATTCTCAGGCATGTAATAAAAACACTGACAAACATTTATGCTAAACCAAAATAAAGGCTTTGAATATAGCCCCAGTAAATTTAAGTTGAACCACTACTGGATTATTATATTGCAAAATGAAATATTGACGTATCCAGGAGACTTATTTAGATTCAACTGAAATGTGGAAATACACATTGAAGACCACCAGATGTTTAACTGAAATATCACAAGGGAAAAAAATCTAGTCAGTCTTCAAGATTATATGTATTTCTTAAATGGAGCTAAGATGACAAATCCATATCTTTTGCAGGAATGCTCATTAATTTCTTGGTATTTATAATTTAGGAAGTACTTAATGCACATGCATGCAAAGCATTAATTTCTAGAATCCGGTTTGCTGTCTATTTGTCATAACACCAAAAGTTTTCTTTCACAAATTTGCCTTAATTTCATTTAAATAGAATGCTAAGCCTTTGTTTATTCCCAGAAGTTAATGGTATAAAAAATGTCTTACTTTGGAATACTTAATAAACAATATCCCTCTTTGACTTTTGCAACCAGTCCCCCTTTTCTTCATATGGATCTTTCTTTTCCTGACTTTCCCTTTCACTTTTGTTCTGAGCTTGTTATTGCATTTTGTTTGATATAAGTCTCTCCTGTTGAGCAACTCGGATCACACTACTGTTTCCTTAACTTGAGACATGACATTAAATTATATCTTAAGAAATCAAGAGTCAGCTATTGGCTTCCCCATTTCCCAGTTCTCTGCTATGATATTGCTGATTGAGCAGAGAGGAGGAGCAGAAATTGATCTGTATGTTATTAATGATTTTGTTTTCAACAGTTGTAAGGGTTCCATAGTTCTTCCATTGTTCTATGGGTCTTCCATATTATCAAGGCACCAGTTTTCTTTCACTGGTGATTGATAGTTCAGATATTTAGAAGAGTATTCCTGTAATTGCTGAGGACTTATCTCCCTCATTAGCAATATAGTCCCATTTCTCCTCTGTGGCAGTGCAGCACAATCAGCATGGACATAGCTGAAATTGTAACTAACACACCTCTGTTTTCCTCCAGTAAATTTATAAGTCTGTCAGAGAATTTGTGACAGTAATGATACCTGGGGTCAGCTTGCTTCTAATTTAAAAAATTATGGATGCAAAGTGATATATTTTGACCTTTTGTGCCCAAATGTATACACCTACTTCCACTCACCAACTTGATGTTGCGGGGAAGGGGGGGGATAAAACAGTATGTCTGCAAAATAATTCACATATTTTAGAATTATATGGAAAAAATTATGCAATGCTTTGCATTTATTTAGCAAGGCTGAGACTGAGAGGCTGAGACTCTTTCAGAGGCAGTGCAGAGTTACTAATGCTCACAACATCACCATTAGTTAGATATTCAATGAAGACTTTGGGTCCAAAAGGTTAGTAATTTGCTTGTAGGACATGAACAGTACCATAACTGGGCTAGAAATGGAATATACAACTCCACAGTCCCCAGTTTTTAGTCACTATGTGTTTTCAGATTAAATCATATGCAAAACTTCATATGTCATTTGAAGCTAGTTTGAATATCTGAAGAAGGCTCTTATGGTGTTTCAAATTAATTACTGAGAACCTCATTACAGACACTGTGGAAATATTTTATAAACAATAATTCTTATTCAATGCATTTTGACAGCCATAATAAATATTTTATAGAACCAGTATTTTGCATTACATGTTTTAAATTTGAACTTTCTATTGTCTTTTTACTAGCATCACCATCAGAAGCATGTCGTCTTTTGTGGTCTCCAGTGGCCTCAATTCTTAATCATTTTAACAGAAGCTGATGTAACATTGTTTAGGTGGTGTTTATCACCTTACAACAATGGGCACTTGAGGTTCAGATAATGATTTATCTATTTTGTCCTTCTTGATTTGAAAGAAGATACTGTTGCTAACATCTGTATACAGTTTCATTTATTTCAAATAAAAGAGAGAACATTCCTCCAAGGTCGATAGGATTGCAGTTCCTCATAGCCAAACTAGCTCCATTATTTGTATATCAGTAGTGTATAGCGCAAAGCTAAAATAAGGTTTTATGCAAAGTTGTAATGAACAATTTGGTTCTTGTTTGTGGTTGTCTCAAGCTGGCTGTCCGAATCTCAAGAAACAATAAAGGACATTGGGTAAATGCCTGATATATTTTTCAGAGAAAGAAACAGAAGACTTCTGTCTCTCTCTATCAGATTGCTTTGTGATTTTTGCTCGATGGTCTGTAGCAATATCAAATATGTTCTTCTTTCTTGTCTCTCGCAGCTGGAGTTTCCATTTACTCACCCTTCTTGGAAGCAATACCCTTTTAATCACCAAGCGTGTGCCAAAGCAGTGAAAGAGAGAAGCCACAACCTTTTTTTAAGATGTACAGTATAGATGTGCAAAATTCCTTCCAGTTGCTTTCTGCGTCAGCATTTTCATAACTCTCAACATTTTATTATATTCTTATGTTACTAAGATAAATTACACATAAGCTGCAAGTGTAAGCTTAAGACTGTACAAAGAAATACGATAAATTTTTATATATCTTTTGTAAGATTGGAGGTATGACACAAGGATTGACATGTGATTGAATCAGTCTTGCCAGTGTATTTTATTTGCAATGTCCAACCCATTAAGGACATGACAAATATTGGAAATTTAGGATTGGAAAGAAGATGGGCAGGTGTTATTTTAGTAAATTAATTAAAGGAAGGTTAGGAAGATTTTAGACATCTGGAGCAAGAGACCGTATCAACAAATGGAGGAACATGGTGAATTATAGATGTAAACTTTTGACTTTCTGTAGTGTTTGATTATAAGTACCACAGAAGGAAAGATTGATAAGCATCCTCTTGCAAGCTCAGAGAAGTATCTGGAAGTGTATTGATCAATGCTGAACTCAGTACTGAGATGTTGGTAAATGGCTCCCTTATCTCATACTAACCACGGGCTATAATGAGGGAATAAAAAGTGGACAAGGAATAAAACTTCAAAGCTTTCCAAAGGAGAAATTCTTTTACAATGCAAGGAACGTTAGCTCTAGTATGGATAGAAACACACACAAAAAAATTTGCTTTTTAAAACAATATCTGTTATATGATCTGAGAAAAAAACCCACAAAGATGGATAACAGTAACACTTTACATGGTTCTGCACTAATCACTAAAAACTAATAACACCATAATCTGTGGTCCAGTCTTTTTTATCACAGATACTACTATTATATTTCTACCACTCATTCAGTGAAAGCAGAAGTTTGCAGATAAATAATTAATGTTGCAAGCTGTTTAAGCTGAATAAAAATGAACCACCAAGAAATTTTCTGCTTTTATCTGAAGGTGACACATGGCAAAAGCCTCTGTCGAATTAAGTGTATCATTCAGTATGTCAGGAATCCCACCTCAATCACATACAAAACTTTTCTTGCACAATTACAACAAACTTGAGGG